ATTCAGCAATATATATATATATATATATATATATATATATGAAGATAGATAAATAAATAGATAACCATGTAAATAGCAATGCATATTGCTGAATAGTTATTAAGACAGGTAAATAGATGGATTAATGGAAGGTGGATAAATAAAAAGCTGAAAAGTATATATTTCTATATAGGTAGGTAGTTGAATGGAGAGGTAGATGTACAAGTGTATAGTAATGCCAAATTATGAATAGTATTAAAGACAGATAGGTAGATGGAAGGATGGATGGATGGATAAAAATAAATAAGTGAATGTTTCGATTATTGAAATGATGAGCAAGCAAAGAGCTGGAATGATTGGAAAGGCAACAAATAAAGAAATGGAAGGCTAAAAGAGCAAGAAATAGGTGGAAATCTAGATAGATGTAATTATATATACCTATATATATATATATATGCTTAATAATACACTGCTAACTAGTTAGATAAAGTGTGATTCGAGAGGCCAGACTGCGACTTATTTAAAGGGAGCTTGGTGCGAACCATACCCCTGAAACTCGATCACAATGGACCGCTCAACTTTCCGAAGTCTGATGATCAAGTTAGCCGGGATGAGTTGGTTTCGTCAATTGGTCTCACCCTTGCTCTCTTTGCCTAACCTCAATTTGGTCTGCCCCAAAGGATTCTAGCGCAAGTCGGTTGGAGAGCATCTTTGCTAAGCGCGAAATTTCAAAATTCGTTTGAGTAACTGGACGTTTCACATCGAATCAAATGGAAGTTTAGATTCGCATTATGTTACAATTCACCAAAAAAATTGGAAGCTACACGCTCTATGAAACTCACTGATGTCATCGTCAAAGAAAAGTTGGTTTCGCGAAATCTCTTGGTTTTTAAATCATAAGCTCACTTCCGGTTCAAATGAAGGTGCGTGATGAATATATTCGAAGGTCGAACCCACCAGAAGACGACAGCGAAGTCCTGTTGGCCAGTTGCCGTTTCGCTATATCCGAATATTCTGGTTGAAGATGCACTTGAGGCATCTCTGTGAAAACGTACCAAGCTTTCGTCAGTCATACCATGAACGAATCAACAGCTGGCCAAAAGATGAGATCATCGTCATCTTCATCATTTACATTCCCTCGAAATGGAAGTAAGCCAAACGCTATTCTATTGGCCGAGTTTGAAGTCAATTTGAAAAGCTGATATGAAACGGAAGAGGTCGGCTAGGCTGTATGGTATGAATGTAAGGATATCTTATGATACAATATGTGAAAGTTTTTTGATCAGGAGACACCGAACGGTGTAGCGCATACCCTCCATTTTTGAGCAAGTTTTGTGTGAAAATGCAAAAAAAGTTTTATTTTTTGTTTTCAGCATGTATAAGAATGGCCAAGGAGATCACGTATTCTCAGATCGGGCTGAAAGAAGGATAAATCTCGAAGGGGCAAAAATAAACGGATAAGAGGACCGCAACAGTGGAGCTGTACACTGACCACAGTCATTATGGGTCCAGCTGTGCGGAAAAGGACGGGGTGTATTTAGAATGAATATCTTTGGTAACTTAGCTCAGTATGAACAGGAAAGTGTTCATGGATAGACGGAAGATCACATAGAAAACCCTATCTTTCAGTTACATTTGTGCACAAATTGGGAAGTTAAGGACACCATAAGTGAGATGAGAGAGGAGAAAATTGGCCAAAATATCTTTCACATGAAGCGCAAGGGAACAATCATGTTGCGAAATGCTCGCCATCTGAGATCAGAGGTATGAATGTTCCCTGAAACAAGAGTGCCCCAACGGTGCGAGCGGGTGTTTCCTGGTTTTGTTTAGACTCGATTGGGACTGTACACCTTCGCGAGGGTGTGATTAGAAGCAGTGTCAGCAGTGGACAGAAAATTCAGAAGATATGTGAAAAAATAGGAGGCCTCATCAATTCTCGCGAAGAGGGTGTTGAACCGCAAAACCCCGAAGAGAGACCTTCACGCCTCATTGGCCAGCTTGGGTCTGTGGCCATGACCGCGACGGCCGGGCAGATCTTGCAGTCTCGAGACTGTGAAACTGCATTCGGTGGCGGATAACTCAGACATTCGACAATTGCGATTAATTTTCCGAGTACCATCCTTTGACCAGCCAGTAGCTGCTGAAGATGATCCTTGGCAAGTCCGTTATTGTTCGAGCCATGCAACGCGTAGAGAAGTCAGCTTCGAGAGTAGAATCACACAACGACGTGGGTCGCTTCGGAGCTGGCCACGCAAACCAGCAAATGTGCCCTATTTCCACAAGAGACCACTAGAAAGGTGTGCATGTGTGTGCAACCGCTTGCCAGAGTGTGAGAGTCCGCTGGAACCGGGCTCCACTTGGGATCATCAATGCATGGAGAAGAAAGTGTACCAAGCCGGTGTTTCAGAGATAGAAAGCAAAAGTACAAACTGCACTATGTACACAGCTCCGGACAACATTCCAGATATGGTTCTGTGTTGACCCACACACGTCGTGTGTGTTCGCCTGGGTCTA